CCTTAGTCTGGGATTTTAATCTGAATCTGTTCCCTGATCCGATTCACCACATGGCCCCACAAATAAATTACACTGCTACAGTTGAGGAGGTGGCACAGGTATAATAAGAAGAGGCCAGATGGATGTAGATGTTCTGCAGGCCATTTTTGATGCCAGGAAAAATGTCCACCCAGCCACCAACAATCTAGATGGTTCCTTGCATGAAATGTCTTCTAAAGGAGTAGTAAGAAGTCAAATCTAATTTCTGCTGCCATCAGATTTGCTGAGTGAGCGGGCTTTTCAGGCACCTGCTGATGGGGTGGGTGGCAGGGTGCATTTCTCAGGGTGGAGGGCTGCTCATGTGCTTTCCCCAGGCTCTGGAGGGCTGCTCTGCTCTCCTGCTTCCTCTGCTCCAGTGCCCACCATAGCAGCTGCCTGCACGATGCGGGGGCTCCCAGCACAGGAGACTTGTAAAATTCAATACAGCCACAGGCGCTCTCTCTCTCAGATTTTTCTGCTGTTTTCTTGGGGATGGAAAGTGAGGAACTGGGAAATTGTATACTTGGAGTGCTGAGACCTGGCAGGTACCACCTCCCAGGCACAGATGTTGCCCTTTATTTGTACATTGCCACTTTTCTCTTTTGCTTTGAGAATCACACTTGGGTGCTGGGGAGGGCAAGAGGAAGAGGAGGGATGATTGCTCATCTTTATTTATTCTTGCTGCCTGGCTGGGAAATATGAGCAAGAAGGAACCAACATAGCTGCCCTGTGGGTTTCTGTGGCTGGGTGTGTTCAGGAAGAGACAAAGGTGCAGAATAGTGATTAGTGGATTTTACGTATCAAGAAAGCCTCTACAACTGTGTTCTGTGAATGTGTGTGTACAGATGTGTGTGGTGAACCTGCAGTTTTCCTTATTCTCATGCCATTTTGGAGGGCTTTTATCATCTGGCTGTCATACATAAGTCTCAGGGTAAATATCTGTTACACATGGAGTAACCTAAGAGCAACAACTCTCAGTAAAGTCTGTCTATAAGGAAAACCACCATAGTCTTAACTTGAATGAAGACCAGACAGATTTTTGAGGAAAGGCAGTGTATTTTATTTGACCAACTGATACAGCAGGAAAAAACCTATCAACTCTTGAGCACACATTCTTCTTCAGATTTCCAGTGGTCTTGAATGTTTATAGCTACAGTAACACTTCTTAGTATTGTTTATATAAATCAGTAGCTTTGAATAACAAATAGGGTCCCATTTATTGCTAGAGGTAGGCTGTGGCATCATGTACACATCCCTGTCTGTTCTCAGAGAGAATGAGGGATATTTAAGACAGGAATAATTATTACACAATATTAAAGAAGGTGAGTGATTACGTAGCTCTTCACATTGAGGTTTCATTTGTATGAGTTTCATAATTTTTTCAGCCATGAGAAATCTGAGTATTATTTCCATAAGAGGAGACTTAGGGGGAATTGCTTAGCTCTTTGCTTGGTGTACCAGCAGTGGACATAAACTACTTATGCATTAGGTGTTATTTCATAAACATAATTGACACTCTTTCAGCTTGAATGAAATCACTGTGTACTTACAGGCATGTCTTCCCTTCAGTTTGCTTATAAAGAGAATTTGCAGTGTCTTGATCTTGGCCAGGCTGTTTCAATATTTTAGAAGCAATGTTTTCTCAGCCTTTTGGACATGTTTAGCTACATAGGCTTAAAGTGAAAGTGGTTTTAACCAGTTCAACATATAGTTGTGAACAAATTATTTGAGGCTATTCCAGAAGTGAACTACTATTATAAAAGATGAGGCTAAAAATAGTTCTAATACAAAAATTAAGCAAGAAAACTCAGAGCTTTTAAATTTCTTTCAGAGTCTTCCATCCATAACAATGCTTAAATAGAACAAAAATGTGCAAATCCAGACTTTTTTTTTTTTTTCCTTTCTTTCTGTTTGGCAAGTCAAGTTTAATAAATATGTAGGAAAAGCTGGTGGGGAGGAGACCCAGACTGAACACCAGCTTTTCTCCAAGGTCTCATATTGCAGAGCATTTAGATCAATAAAGTGAGGGTTAGCAGGACTCTCCTGTGTTATTGGATGTTGCCAGTCTAATTTCTCTGGAAATGTACTTCCCAAACAGTCACAGCTGTCCCAGGAATGCAGTTTAGCCATTGTTGTTTGTAGTTCTCAATTGGAAAGAATTAAAAACTGTCATTCTGACAGGAGATTTATGCACTGAGATTACAGCGACTGAATACCAGAAGTTAGGTGAAGTTTGTGCCTGTTCTCAGACTTGGGTAAGACTCTCCCTCCTTTCTAAACAGACTGACACTGTGCTGTATTTTATTCTCTGCTTAAAGAAAGGAAAAAAAAAAGTTGCTATTGTAATAACAACATTTGCATTGCAGATGATATATTTTTGTTGGTTGCTGTTTAAAGCAGCTGCCAAAAAAGCTCAGAGGTGTAGAATTCTAAGGAAGATGAAGCTGAAAGAACAGACACTATACCTAGACTCCTATTTTAGTGTCTCAGAAGAATCAATTTTCTATTTCTCTAATTATAATAGGGAGATTTCAGTCTTTGTTTGAATCTAATTTTGAGGGTTCCAAACAGTAAGGTTCTTTTACGCCGTCATGTGTCAATGCACAGTGGTGTCAGATGGCGTCAGACTTCAGATTCTGATAAGAACTGATGCACTTGCATCCAGTTTCTGAATCCATACTACATATTTGGGTAATCTAGATGGAAATAAAAACCCAATTTATTTTTCAGGCAGCACTGTCCTAGAAGTAACTATTTTAGAGTCTTCTAGGTAGTTGCTGTTGAGACTTGAAACTCCCCTACAAGTAGAATTACTGTGCTCTCAGCACCTCTTACCTACTATGTTTGATTGCTTAGACTGTGCCAGAAAGTTCTGGGCTTGCATTAAAAATGTGAAGATTTTTTGTTTCTCTAAGTTGCTACAGCTTCCATGCTGTGAAATGTGTCAGTAGTCTTAATTTGATCATCAGTCTGTATAACCATGAAAGCTGTGGCATGCAAAAGCCTTTTCCCCTAAGATACCTGTATGTGTCCATACATTTCTGTCTAGGTTGGATGGAATAACGCACAGTTTCAGGGGGAAAGGATCATCATGCCATCAATGCTGCTGTAGTGTTTCTCCTGGCTTGCCCAGAGCTACCACTCACACCTAGCACAGGATTCTCTGCTCTCTGCTTCCCCCCCGGGGCAGCCACAGTTCCAAAGGGGCTGTTACAGAGGCCAAAAACAAACGTTTTCACAGGTGGGGGCTAAGCCTTCAGTGGGATGGAGGAGAGAATTGGAAGGGTCAGTTTTCAGTAAGAAAAATCATGGATTGAAATAAAGCTAGTTTAATGGGTAAGGGAAAGTAAAGCGAAAGAAAGAATTAATTTGCTACTCACCGTTGGCAGGCAGGTGTTCAGCCATCCCAGGATGAAGGGTTCCATCACATGAAATGGTTACATGGGAATACAAATGGTCTAACAGCAAATGTCCCCACCTTCTTCCTTTTTCCCCCCAGCTCTTATTGCTGAGAACAGTCCTATGGTCTGGAATATCACTTTGGCCAGTTGTCCTGTCTGTGTCCCCTCTAGCTCCTTGTGCACCCCAGCCTGCTTGCTGGTAGAGCAGCATGAAAAACTGGGGCAAAAAATACCTTGACATGCTGTGCAAGTGCTGCTCAGCAATGGCTAAAACATCCCAGTGTTATGACCAACCCCTGCTTCCAGCACAAATCCAAAACATAGCCCCGTTCCAGCTACTATGAAGAAAATTAACTCCATGCCAATCAAAACCAGTATGTTTAGGAATGGGTGATTCATTGCAGAAACAGCCTATCCTAGTTTTTGTGCCATATTTAGGTAATTCATTCATTCAAAAGTAATTTTTATAGTTAAGAGTATTTTGTACAAACCTGGTGGAAGGAGAAAATATGCAATCAAAAAATAAGCTTTAGTTAGTTGTTGGCAATGGCAACGACAGCTCAAAACCAAACCAAACACACAATTGCAGTTCTGAAGAACTTGAAGCCAGAAGTGCTTCCTAAGGAAGCACCAGCCAAACAGCCACTACCTTGTGTTGGTCTCTAGCCCAGTCCTTTTGTTTTGTTTAGCTGCAGGAAAAGAATCGAAGTTGCTCCAAGTGTGATGATTATACTTTTTTCACTTTCTTTAAAAGAAATTTTTCTTTGGGAATAACTAGAAGGCTTCTAGGGCACCAGTTCCTCCAGGGGATAGACAGGAGACGTATTTTGAAGTAGAAAGTGATACTGAGCACATGGGAAAGTGCCCGTTAGTTGACAGCAGTATTTGTACATTTAAAAATCATGGGAACATCATGGGAAGTAACCAAGAGATGAGAAGCAACATTTTCAAGAGTGTGCCACACAGGGAATCAGAAGGCCATTCCTCTTTTTTTCTCCTTTGCCAGGAATACTCTAGGCAAATAAACTTTTCAATGTCGTGGCTTTTCTCTTTTATTTCTTACTGCAGAATACCACAAAACATGGTGTACAATATTGTAGAGGTCTGCAAAGTATTGTGAACTTTAAATGCTTTATTGTAATGATAACATAAAAATATCACTGCAGTGTAGACTGATTTCTTATGTTTTTTTTCTTCTGTTTGGAAAAGCTCTAAGCTTCTAGTTGTGTGATAGGATTTTCAGCAAGGCACTTGAGCACACATTTGAAATTAAGCATGTGCATTAGTCCTTTTCTGAATACACAGAGCTATTAATTAGGGCTTGTAGCAAGACTGATTGTCTGAAGTATGAATAGAATGTGCTTGAGGGGGGGAGAACCCTGCTTTTCAAGCACATGTGTATCCTGTTGGTAAAAACTAATAAATAAAACCTCTCTGGTTAGTCATGCACTGGTTTGATCTCCCAGCTCCAAGTCCCACTCTCCCCATGCTGTGTATGACATGAAGTAGGCTATGATCAATATGGTTAGTGCAGTAAGTGAATGTAATGATGCTAATGAGCCATTTCTTTATAATGATCAGGTTCTCCAGCCCTGCCCAGCAACATGGTATATTTTGGAAGCTCTCAGGATGATGAGGATGAAGAAGAGGAGGAGGAGGAGACAGAGGACACAAAAACAGCCACAAACAATGCTTCATCATCATGCCAGTCAACCCCTAGGAAAGGAAAAACGCATAAACATGTACCAAATGGGCAAGGTAGGTCCTAAGTAGTGCTGTTCTCCTGCATCCACTAGTAGAGAAATTTATGAGCTGAATGTGCTCAATCCTTGTCCATTATTCTGGATCTGATTGAAAAAGTGGTGGAGTAAGATGCAGTTTTAGTATCTTGTGTTATAACCTGTTTCTTCTGACAATCTGAACTCTGTGGCAGAATTGCTGCAGGGCTGGAATTATATACACACATAGAGACACATATATATGTATATACTGACATAGGGGTCAGTCTCTTCTCCATGTAACAAGCAATAGGACCAGAGGAAATGGCCTCAAGTTACACCAGGAAAGGTTTAGGTTGGGCATTAAGAATTTCTAATTTCTAAGAACCCTGTTTCTTCACTGGATGGTTTGTCAAGGCTGCTCAGGGAAGTGGTTGAGTCATTATCTCTGAAGGTATTTAAAAGTCATGTAGATGTGGCACTTAGGGATATGCTTTAGTGGTGGACTTAGCTACGTTAGGTTTATGGTTGGATTCAATGATTTTAAAGGTCTTTTCCAACCTAAAAAATCCTGATTCTGTGAGATATATTTATGTATGTGTACACACACACACATGTATAGACACAGTCATGCTCTCTGGCTTTTTTTTTGAGACTTATGTTTAATTTATAATGACTTTGTTTTATCAAAGTTAAATATAAGCACTCATAAGTGTTACCAAAATGCATGCAAGGGGCAACACTTAATTTCTCTCGTGCGGTATTGAGACCACACTTGCAGTAGGTTGATACCACAGTCATGTTGTTGATTGAAAAATTTTATGGAAGAAACTTTTTCAAGTCAGTTATTTCTCTGCAAATCAGCAAAAGATGATTTAATTACACATTAATTAATTGTGTCACAATGTTTTTGTGCCATATCTTGAAAAATGGATCCATGTACATTGCAACATTATCTACCACATAATGGAAGATTTAAAGCTGTGCTGAAAATTTCCTGAGCCTGCTGTAATGCTCCCCTGCCAGCATCATGTGTGATGTGGTTCTTGCTCCAGCAGGAGCTCTTGTTTCATAACTCTCTGCCATCTCTGCCTGACATAATTTCAAAATGTAGCCTATGCTCTCTGTTCCCTTCCTCACTATTAGCTTTCCATGAGAATCTCTCTTTCTGGTGACTGCCCTTTCAGCTCTTCTCCTTTTAGTAGGAAGACTGAGAGGGATGTCTCTTCACAGTGCACTTTTTGGGAGGTGACCTGTGCCTGCTCTTGTTTGTTCTTTCATGCTACCTTGCTCCAAAGAAGAGATTAGTAGATCCCAATTACTTCACTGTGCTGATCCTCATCTTTGCCTTTCAAAAGGGAGTTTTCTATAAAGGCTGCCTTTGTTACATATGCCAAAATTTTTTTCATGACTGCATCTGAATCTAGTTTTATTGCACACCCAAGCTCAAAAACTCATTTTTGTGAATGATTTGTGGATAATTGCAAGGGGATGTTATGCCTAACAGCATTTCAATTGTCATTTCAATTGTGACCAGGAGCTTTAATGCTTTACCAGTCATAGATCAAAACTTGGCACTTAGGATTGATTTCTAAATAACTCCCCCAAAATAAGAAGCACAAAACTCTGCATACGGAAAATGAGGCTGCATGTAACAGAACTGCTCCCATAGAGTTTTAAATGTGATATATCACTGCAAAATGATGCAGAAGGAGCTGATCGTGTTCCTTTAGAATGTCCCAGATGGCAGACACTTCGAAATTAGCTCAGAACCGGAGACACCTGAAATCTTAATTGGGGGTAAGTAAAGGCAAACATAATGAGCCATATAATGGCTTCATAATCTTTATCAATATAGATCAGAGAGAGTGTAAATGAAGGTGCTGTTTTAATAGAGCTGCAAAAGACCTTTATAAAATACATAGGAGACAATGTGAGATGTTTTGACAAAGGTGAAGAAGCAGGAATTCCCAGAGAAGGCAGCTGCTTCTTCGTCATTGTAATTTCTTTTTTTCTTCTTCTCTCTTTTTTTTTTTTTTTTTTTAATTAAAATTTCCTTACCCAGGGGTATTCCCATTCTTCAGTGTCTGCTATGTTGGTTGACAGCCAATAGTATTTTTGTTTCATGTGAATAAAGTAGGTTCTGGTTCATGTGTGTCTGTTTTAAATGAGACCACACACAAAGGCAGACCAGGGACGGGTGCAGCAAATGAACTTAATCTAGCGTGAGAGTCTATTTTTAATGAATTAAAGTCTTTTGTTTTTAATATACAATGTCTAGTCAAGCACTTTGGACCTGAAAATGCTAAGCATTTGCTATGACATACAACAACAAAGGTTCAGAGCTTGATTAATGTCATTAGACAGTGTCAAATGATTGCTTTCTGCTCAATGGGGGCCAAAACAATTTTTCTGGGCAAAGTCATTTGTCAGTATCCTCTTCTGATGTCAGTATGGGGCATTAATAAGGTTGCACACCAAACTGTTTGTTATAACTGAGCCTGTTGAGCCACCTTTTGGAGAGCTAACTCAGTCGAGAACGCCTGGGTGTGAATGGGAAGCACGTATAGCACGTGGCATGAGCTTGCTGCACAAGATGAAGTAATTAGTTCAACTGACTTGTTGCCTTCCAACCTTACTGCTTACACAGATACATATAAAGCATCAAATTGTTACCTGTGCCTTTTCACCCTCCTTTCATAGTGCTGCTGATGTGCTGCACACACATCCAGCTGTAAAAGAGCAAAGTGAGATGTTTGGCAGAAGTGTTTATTCCCTGCATTCATGGGAGTGTGTAAAACAGTGTGCAAGTCTTTCCAGGGAGGTGTTTGGTCTAAACTGCATCTCCCTGCTATTCAGAGAAAATTCCAAGTTGTAGGTAAGAGGGTAGGCTTAGGTCTTTGTCCCTTTAAACCTAATTCTTTGAATTCCTCACAACTAAATAAATCCTAGTTTGATTTCATTCTATGGCACAATGGAAGGTTTTCTCTGCAGGTTCCTGAAGAAAAATGTTTGCAGGTGCCAAGTATTTAGCTAGGCAGGCTGTGATAGAGAGCTGGAAGGCAGAGCTGAGGAGTTGTTGGGTTATCAGCCCCATCTTGGGAGCAAGGGAGGATAGGCATTACTCAACTTGAAAGGGCTTGTGGGCTGATAAAGTGCCTCAGGAGGAGCAGCATACACAGATACAGTTGTGTAGCAACTTTGACATTGCATGCAGCAGGCTACAGTTCCTTTAATAATGGTTGGCTAATTTTCTCAGGAAGAATGATTGGGGAATTAGATATTTCTCACATCAGCACAGCAGCTCAAAGGTGGAGAGGTATGTACATCTGGGCCAGCATACCAGGGAATGTCCTGTTGTCTCTGGATGCCAGAGACAGACAAGTAAGTTCTAATTTACTTTCAGGAAAGCAGAATTAACCATTGTTATTTGTAACCAGACTTCATGAAGAGTGAGTCTGGTGTCCTTAACTGGAGTAAACCAGCTTGAGTGTGCCAGCAAACCTACAGGGTCAGAAATGGTTGCTGGTTCATGCTGTACTTTGTTAACATGATGAGATAAAAACTGCTCTGCATGCCTGTTGCCTGAAATGAGCTGGGGAGAAAATTGTAAAGATGCTTCTGATGCTTTTTTTTTT